GTCGACCTGCTGGAAAGCACCTCCAYGGAGAGGGACCTGGGAGTCCTGGTTGACACCAAGTTAACCATGAGTGAGCAGTGTGCCCTGGTGACCAAGAAGGCCAATGGCATCCTGGCCTGCATCAGGAGGAGCGTTGCCAGCAGGTCAAGGGAGGTGATTCTGCCCCTCTACTCAGCTCTGGTGAGGCCGCACCTGGAGTACTGTGTKCAGTTCTGGGCACCCCAGTATAGGAGGGACGTGGAGCTTCTGGAGAGGGTCCAGAGAAGGGCAACCAGGATGATTAASGGAATGGAACATCTCTCGTATGAAGAGAGGCTGAGYGAGCTGGGCCTGTTTTCTCTGGAGAAGAGACGGCTCAGAGGGAATATGATTAATATGTATAAGTTCAGGAAGGGAGAATGSAGGGAGGAAGGGGACAAGCTGTTTTCACTGGTGGCCAGCGATAGGACGAGGGGTAATGGCCACAAGCTGRAGCAYAAGAAGTTCCGTCTCCAGGTGAGGAGCAACTTCTTTACTGTTAGGGTGACAGAGCAGTGGAACAGGCTGCCCAGGGAGGTTGTGGAGTCTSCTACTCTGGAGGTCTTCAAAACCCGCCTGGATGCCACCCTGTGCCACATGCTCTAGGTGTGCCTGCTTGAGCAGGAAGGTTGGACTAGATGATCTGTAGAGGTCCCTTCCAACCTTAAATATTCTGTGAATCTGTGAATCTGTATCCTGAATCTATATATAAAACATCAGACATACACTGAAGTGCTCAGGCTTCCCCTAGAGAAAGCAGGGCCTTGCTAGGCCGCTGCTCCTGAAACGCTGAGAACGCTCTGAAATCAGGCTCATATCCAGCTGAACTGCCAACGTGCCCCAGCGCAGCTCCATGTCACAGGCATGCCCCAATTTCTGACTGCGGGACCTGGATTTGAGGAAGTGCAGGGATTCCACACTGAGGCAGAACTATGTGTGTCCTTACAGTGCTCAAAGGAGGGGAACACTGCAGTAGAGATTTATTCGCACGAGATCTCTCCGCTGGCAAGTGCTGCTCTGCTATTTCTCACACTTTTACAGAAATTGTTTCTTTCCTCTTAATGTTCAAAATTCTGCTACGGAAACAAGGAGSGACAGCAGCATTAAGCCTCACCTCAAGCACTATTCCTTCCTCCCCTATCCCACCCTACACTTGCCACGGCCCAGTTTAGCCTTCACAAGAGCAAGAGCCCCATCTCAGCTCAGGTCAGTCCCTGAACAGCTGGTACCCCGGCAGSTTTAGGGGGTTACGGCGCTGTGCGGACAGGCAGATTCCCACTGACATCGTTGTTGTTTCCCTCATCATCCACACTGTCATTCTACACTTTCYGAGTGCCGAACAGCTGTGCCCTCAGTGCAGCTATTTTAGGCCCTCCGGAGCATTTGAGGAGGTAAGAGAGACTTCCTGATTAGAATGGCAGCAAGGAAACGGGTCGGATGTACATTTGGCTTAAACYGCTGTAATTCCTGAAAAGCAAAAACCCTGAAAGCCACTGAAAGGCAGAACAACTTCTGTCAGCGGAAGACCTGATTTCAGTCACTGTGTATTTGCACCTAGTACAAATATAACAACTATTACATCTAAAAGACCACTGTAATATACAAAAATCTGATTTTTTGACAAAAAAACCCAATGCTTTTACTTACCTGCTACAGTTCTATTTAAGTCAGTACAGATATTTAAGTCAAGGGGTATGCTGGGAACGCTGTTTTTATTTTCTCTACAATGTCTTGTAAAAAGTAGAAGTGAAAAAAAAACCAAGTGAGGCAGAGAGAGGACACTCTTGGGATTCAGGGAGAGGTTTTCTGGCTTATTACTCCAGCAAAGCCACTTTAGCTTTCTACAACTGTATCTTCTTCAAGCAAGCAAGGCCCATCTCTGCCTGTTTATCGGCATCATACTTAGCTTAAGAAGGTCTTGATCTTAAACAGGAGTTGCTGATCAGCCCTTATAAAAGAGATATTTATTCCTCCACATTATGTACTAAGGCACACTTGATAGCCAATAGAAAGTAACTCATAAAGTCTCAGTTGTTCTGCTTTGAATAACTAACTCGGGAAAAGTTCCAACAAAAAGGAAAGGAAATTAAATCTGGCTTGGGAGGCCAGGCCCCTCTAGGTAACGAAAGCTGACAGACAGCAACTATTATGTTTAGTGCATAACATCAGCCATGGCAATCCTTGTCTTCAGCAATTTTGAGGAATGCACAACAGAGTGATTGGTAATTATTGGGCCTTCTCCTCTCTTTGGCTGAGAGCCACCATGGAAACTATGTTTATTCTCATATAAAGCCAAACAAAAAAACAAGAAACAAGTAAAGTGGGAAAAGAATTAATTAACACTCCTTGTTTAAAATAGCTTGGGTTAGCTTGTTTTCTACTGGTAAAGATAATAATCTTAGCAAGGTATTTTTATTTGGTTATGGTTTATTTTGAAATAGAGAAATATTAACACGCCTTAACCATAGTAAAACTGAAGTTAAGAGTGAATTATAATGTAAGACATATAGAATTAAACACTATAAGCTGGCAAACTCTTGAGAACCTGCAGTGAGCTAATCTCATGGCACTGCTGACAAGCCCCAGGAGTACTCAATGCACTTTCTAAGCTAAGTGCACACATGGATAATACAATTTCCTTTACCATGCTCTTCTTGTGCATTTATCATTTCCTGGCAGTATTTAAAATGGAATGTTAAAGGACTCATTGAAATCTATTTGTCCTATAGCCCGTGGTAATGATCATTGCTGCAAAATGTCAGTACGTGTACTTGATATACTGAGAAGTGCTCGTATCACTATCCTATATTTGAATGCTCTTGCACCTTGTGCTAAACTGCTGTGAAGTGTGCRGATATTTTTCTGGAAAAGCTGAGGCGTATCTATATGTCTCATTTTCAAGCCCCACCTGGTGTTGATATTCACGGAATAAACTTCATAACCAGATGAAAAATTGCATTTCCATGCTATCCCCACCTGCACTGCACCCTGTAGTCTATTTCTATCCCCGAGTTCCTTCCAAATTTCAAACTATCTGAATGGCTTCAAGCAGCAAATACATTATATTAAATATAAACTTCTGAGGCTTTTCCTCATTTTGCCTAAAAGTGAAGTTTTTTTAGTTTCAGATGAGGGTGCTCWCAGTTGGAGGCAAAACAAAGAGTGCTCCTATGTAAGCTGAAACCACAGTATCTTATGATTCATTGAGCCAGTAAGTAAAGTAGGGGAACTTTGCCACTGCCAAATGAAGATTCCCAGCTCCTCAACAGGAGCAGCATTTGCCGCTAGCTTGCCAGCTCTGAGAAACCTAGCGTGTGATATCCTCTCAAAACATTGCTTGGGAYTATTTTTTATCAAAAGGTTTTGAATATTGGCCTTTATTTCTACTCTCTCTTGCCTCCTTTCTGGCTGTACTAATGGTAACTGATGCACAAGACTGCATACGGAGAAGAAAAAATGAGTCATTAAAAAATCAGAGCCATTTTTAAACAGTGCTTTCCCTAATCATCAGTAACGCAGTAATGAAATTGTGGACAGTCCTGCCTCCTCTTCCCTACTGTTAGAGAGTTGTCCAGAAGCTAACAGCTTCTTTTTTTGTTCTGGCCATGAATAGTTTACAGGAGGCTCCTTTCCTYTCAGGTCATTCTTATAGCTTCACATGAATGCTCATTTCCTGCTCACTAATAGGAAAGCATCTGTGGTCAGAATCTCAGCTGGTGCAAATAAGCATCTAATGGAGATGAGCTGTTCTTAGCCAGCTGATGATCTGGAATAAGATATTCAGCTGTGACGGTTTTCCATCTCTGAGTAGACAAAGAACAGCAACATTGTGATGTAAACAACAGCTCTTGAAATACTTATTTTCAAGACAGAAAGGGGAAAAATAGTTATGTTTTTCATAAACAGTCTTGAACTTTCAGTATTACTTTAATTTTGCTTTTCTTCCATATGGTAAAGCTTTTTCTTTAGATTTTGTTACTGTGATCACCTGAGCACTTCCCAGTACTCTGCTGAGCAATATAATTATCATTTGTTACATTTGTTCCTTCCCTGTTTCTTTGGCAATACAAACACGTGTATTGAAATGCCTCTCGTTCAAAGGGTTGTTTCTACTCCGTTCTATTTTTTCTTAAGGATAGCATTAATTACATAAGGATATATAATTTACATATGGAGAGATAAACAACTAGAAAAGAAGTATCTGATGCTGTGACCTGAAAGTAGCAAGATTTATAAGGCTCCTGGCCTGGCCTCAATGAATTTACTGCACATCTSACCTTTTACTTTATTGAAGAAAGTCACAGTGTTGCAAAGAGATGAACCTTTTGGCCATGATATTTACTCTGGAGATTTACTTGGTCTTTTAGAAATTCTGAGCCCACATCCTGAAGTGTTTTGAACGCAACAATTGAGTTCATGAATGGAAAACAACTATGCCCTGGTTTTCTTCAAGCAAGTAGAAAATTGATGACTTTATCTTAGCCTGAGTACATTAAAAAAGTGCCATCTTTTAATGCCAAAGTGGTAAAGAAATGCAGCTCTCATATCGCTTAATTTTATTCTTCAGACTGTTAAAATCCTACTCAAAGAAATCAAGCAAAAAACCTCTAAAATTTCTGTGGAAAAGAAAAGGTAAAAGAAATAAATACAGCAAGAAGGAGGGCATGCTAGAAGGGTATGCTAGGTACAGGGCATTCTTCCTGAGTGCTTCTAGAAGCAGAGAAAACCACAGACAGATGTGGATTTCATCATAGAGTAAGGACAGCAGATCCAATAGGTTCTTGCAGTTTGTTAAAAGGGTACACATAGAACCTAGTTATATTTCAATTTCCRCTGGGACGAGGGGACAGAGTATGGGTAGGAAAACTGATTTTAAACTTACAACGTTATCTGTCAAACAGGGAATAAGGTCCAAAATTCAGCCAAAGACAAGAGAAAATCCCCTTTTATTCTCAAATGCAAGCTCTCAGGGCTAAAACATCTTTTTTTTTTTTTTTTTTTTTTTTGTCTTTGTACATACTAGGTAGCTCAATAGAGTCTTGGTCAATGACTCTGAGACGGAGATTTGACAGACCTAAGACCTATAAATAACAAAGGAACTTTGGTAGGTCCTGAGTCTTGGAGTAAAACTTTTTAACTTAATCCCCTTGAAACGAAGAACAGGAATGGATCAACCCAGAGCAAGTCATTTTGAGTCCACTCTTTCAGCACRAACTGACGTAACTCACAGTGACATCTACGGGAGCAAAAGAACAAGTTGTGTTAAGCTCTGCCAGTAGAAAATAATGTATGTTACTACTTTGTTTCCATGCAATGATTCATATCACCTTCTTTGCATTTGTTTTTCTTTCTTAGATATCTGTATCCAGGGAAAATAAATAAAAGCTGTATTTATAGCAGAAATGTTTGGGTTTTTTTTTTTTTTTTTTTTGTCTCTACATGTAGATGGGAATTTCTATGCCAGTAAATCCTAATAGAAGCATTTATTTAGTTTTACAAATATGGTTTGTATATATAGCCAATTCAAACTATTGTATAAGAGTCAAAAATATTCCAAGCATTTCCTAACTTACAAAAACTGTGATTAAACTCAGTTAGGAWTCAATAAGCTTTGTGAAGGTTAATTAAATTTTTATAGATTTTTTTCTTCATTCAGTGCTGTAAAAGGCTCTTCTGTTCAGCAACCACTGCCAAGTTTGTGATGGAGGAAATTGAGAACCCTGATCTACATGAATCCTTTTGTGATGCCAGACATGGAAACAAAATTTGCAGAATATTGGTAAGGACAAAATGAGGAAAGAAGGAGGAGACAAAGAATTATCGCTGAACATTGCATTTTCAATGATGGTCTGTGTGCTATCAGGAATGATACACATTTGTGGGCACCACCGATACATTGAAATTTTTCTTTTTCATTGGGCATTAGCTGCTGCAGAATGAACACTTCTCATCTTATTTCTGGCCAATGTTTAGAGATTTCTCCACCAAGTCTAGGCAAGAGTGGAATGTGGCAATGCCAATTCCATTAAGATATTACAGTTAAAAATATTAAGAAAACACAGAGCTGTTCAGAGTTTCCCAAATAACTTGCTTCGAGCAACTACTAGAAGTAGCAGTGAATATTCCTACAATAAGCCAGCCAGAAAATGCAGCTGGAGATAGATATTTACTTGAACTATGTGTCAGATAGTGATGCAACAAAGCAAAGCAGTCAGTGTCCCAGGAGATTACAGTTAACATATTAGACACCCCATAGCAGGTGGTTGTGATGAAAGAGAAGATGAGSAAGGCTGAGAGATTAAGCTAACAGCCTGAAGAATGCTATGAACCTGCACATCTCTGCTCAGCTTTTGCTTAATCAAGTCTGTAAGTCCCCTGYGCAGCAAAGTTGAAACGCTTAAGTCCATCTCTCTTCAGCCATGCATCACGGCACGTTTAATTTTTAATTTGCAATGTAGTRTTTTGCTAAATATGAATTGACTGCTGAATCCAAGCCTAAGGATGTTGTCAAGATACTGGTTAAAAGAGAGCCAGTTAATTATTAGGTTTTACAAAAAAAAGCTTTTAATATCATTCCTTACAAGCTGCTGCTTAAGGAATTAATCTATCATAGGGTGAAGTCCTGACTAGGRTAAAAAGATTAAAAGAGAAGGGTCAGATTTGACAGTCACATTTCATCAGGGAAGGCTGTAACAGGAATCTACAGTGGCAATGAAACTGTTCCACAACATGCAATATGTTATCTGGCCTACTGGGATACCAGCCGATGTATGCTGAATAGTTTCAAAAGTATCCAGGAAGAGGGTTTTTCTTTAAAAACCTATTAAAAATGATACACATCCTTTTGTTTTTAAACAAGGTGTATGCAATTACCACACTGAATATTCCAGTTTTACTGTGGGTCTCTTATTTCAAAGCTTGTTTAGAAGCCAAACTCCTTGGAGGATAAATCTTTGTTTCTTTTTGACYTGGAAAATATCTTGCGAAGACCAGGCAGTGGCTGAGCAAAACAGTAATAAATACTGTTAGTAATTTTGAACAAAGTCTTTAGCAGMAAAACATTTTTTTTCCCAGAAAAAGTGTATTTTATGTGACATAATTTCCATTAGCCAAGATTAAACAGGACTTTGGAGAGCAGCCAAACTAAACTAAGCGTCTGCACCACATCCATGACAGATCAAATTAACTACAGAAAAGCTCAAGGTGATGCACACTGGAAAGGACAACTCAACTGTTCATACACATAGCTGAGTTATAATCAGTCACGTGCAATCACTCATGAGAAAGATCTTGGTGTCTTGGTGTCACTCTGGACAACTCCATGAAAACATCTGTTCAGTGCACAGCAGTGATCAAGAAGCAAACAAAATGTCTAGATGTATGAAGGAAGGATTAGGATATAAGGCTGGAAGTGTTATAATGCCCCAACCTAAGTCGATGGTGTGCATTGACCTTGAATATTGTGTCCAGCTTGATTTACTAAAAGCAGAAAGGATTCAAAGAAAGGGCATCAYCTTTAATTAGAGGCTGGGAACATTTCGAGGTGAGGAAATATTAACATGATTAAAACAAATATCTTCAGAGGAGAAAATTAATCAAAAGCATGGAAAAATGATACAGAGAATATGAGTTGAAAAGCTCAATTTTCACCTCTCACACATTATGGGGTTGGGAACTGTCTAAAAGATAAAACTGAGGGAAATATTTTTTTAAGAATTTTTGTATAATTAACATATGAAACTGACTCCTATAAAACCTGAGTTCAAGAGCTTATCCATTTCAAAAATAACTACCAATAGCACTCAGACTTAGAGACAAGGATTACTAAGGGACATAACCAACCAAATGGACACAAGCCAAGTGACACATGAGGACATTTCGAAGAAATATCCCTTCTGGCCAGCTTACTGAATGTGTTTCATATTCATTAATGACATCTCTGTATTTTTTTTTTTCTTTTAATTCTTTTTCACTGGAGGATTTCCAATTTGTCTGCCATATCCCAGAGAATTTCACACCATTTGCAGCAGATGTATCATACACACAGATGTAACACAGCCAGTACAAGTAGAGTTACAGCACTGGAAGAGCACACTAACAAAATTCTGTACTACTAGCTATTACGCTGTTTTACTGTACTGCATTACTTGTTCTCTGGCCCATTGCCAGATGGCTGCAATAATGTGGTTTGTTACGGTTTTGTGCTAGATTACTTCAGAAAAAGCTACCTGAATCTGTGCTTGGAGACTTAGAATTTTTCTATACAAACTTCTCTCAACAGAGGGAATGTATCATGTCATAATTTTAAAATAAAGACACACAGCAAACAGGAAAGGCAAAATTTAGACCATTTATGCTTGAAAAATGAAATTGAAGCCTCTATTCTACAGCAAGTAACAAATACAGTTCAGTGCAGGCAAAGAAATACAAGCTACATAGAGCTCTGGGAATTAATTCCTGAGAAAAACATTTTAAGGATCCAAAGCAGAAAAATCTATTTTATGCTTCTCTATGCAGCTGATTATGCATTCCTTTAGGCAGAAAAAGTACTATTGACTAAGCAAGATTTATGTGTATGGAACAACAATGAGATCAGATCTGAGGAACCTTTGGTTAATACCAGAACAGGGCAGGTAGGAGTTTTCCTGACTTTGAAAAAAAGCATGAGATATAAACGATGGTTCCTTTGTATAGAGATGATCTTCAAAAATTACAAAATTAATTATAGAGAAAAAAGAGATATGGACATATCWCTCAGGTAAGTCTGCTGGCTAAGTTAGCTGGAAGGGACAGCTTGAAAGGCAAGCCCGAATTTCTTCTAACAATTGTTCAATTTTATGCAAAGTGAAATCCAACAGAAGAGATCCATGATTCAACACCTGAGAAGTTGAGACACGTCTCAAGACTGGAGGACAGGTTCCTGCTGCTCCCAATTCAGAAGGCCTGGTATCAGCAAGAAGTGTAGAGATGAAACAAATTTATGTCACATGTTACTGTTTTATAGCACCTAGACCACAAAAAAAAAATTARCTTCTTGACTTAGGAAGACCAGATATAATGTCTTTGTACCTTCCTTCACTGTATGAATGGCTATTTGGATTGCTGCAGATGTCTCTTTTCCTTTTAACTCCATTCTTCAGTTTGACAAGGCAATTTCTTAGAAATGTCCTATAGAGCCCTAGGTAATACTTTGTTTTCTTTCTTTGGAGAGAGCAATCTCACCTGAAATAGTGCACTCCAYAGAAATACACTGCAAGTCATCTCTTCCTGTGTATGCACAGTCACTACATGTCCATATGCCAGCTACATGGCTGCATAATACATCTCTATTTTGGTGCATTCCATATTTACTCCCTGCAAAAAGTAACTGCCATGTAATTATGCATGCACAGCAATACAATTTACACTGAATGTGTACAGTTAAAAATTAAAGGTACTTGGCAACTGTACCTAAAGTAAAACTGAAATACATTTGTAAAGGTTACTGAGTAAGAACCTGATTCTAGTACACAAGATGCTTGATGCTTGATTTTTTAGTCCAGATACTGTAACGTTCACATCCTTTTTTTCCAATAGCACCTAAAACCTCCAAGCTGTCATCATTTTACTCTTATGTTAAATAGTGTTTGTGGAGGTAAGTCCATCTGGAAGTATTCATGAGCATCTGATCTCACAGTTGCCCTGTTTTGCCCAGACACTTCAAGGGGGTGATTAATTCAGGTTAATTTTTATCTCAGTTGCATCACAGCCAAACTACTACTTTGCAAGACACTTTGGAAGCAATTGTTTCCAAAGAACCTAAAATTCATCTATTCAGGACAGGCAGATAGTGAAGTTTTGCTAAATGTGAAGGTGACAAAACAGACAACTGCCAGTGCTTATGCATGAAGCATCATTTAGTGCTGGATTACTGCAATCCATTTTCCACTGTCTTTGCATATAAAAGGGAGAGGGAGGCAAGAAGTAAGAAAATAAAGTAGCAAATGAGTTGGTTTATAGAATTAGCTTTCTAGATTATTTTTTTCAGAATCATTATGAATCRTGAATACTACTGTAAGTACTTGTAAGAGGAACAGTATATTTTGAATTGTATTCACACATATCGTCCTACCTGGCTATGATGCTGGTGAGTGGAGATAAAGATTTACTTCTAATTACTACACAATTGGCTTGGTTTTTTTGTTAAATAACGAACCAAGTTGCTATAATAGAAGTAAGCTTTTAGGAAGTTGCTTTAATTCTTAAATACATCCTTTTTTATCAGTGGAAATAGCTTCCTGTCTGATAAAGTAGCTAGAATAAATGACTTTCTTTTTGACTTTATTTTTAAATTGACAAAGTCATGCTTACAGTCAACCAACCATTTGCAAATGCATCAATTCTTGTTCTTAAGTTATCATCCAGCTATACTAAAGCATCTGAGAGAAACTTTCTGTGCAGTATTTACTCCATGAGCCGTTCAGAGTTGGCACAAGCTCTGCATGGCTGAAAGGGTATTACATTACACATTGATCTTGGTTCAGCTTTGAAGACAGACTCTCGTACCCTTCTCAATCCACTTGTATCTCCTGTACATTAAAATCCTATGTGGAAAATGCTGTATCTTGCTACAGAATCCATTCACAGCTATAAACCCAATGCTCTGAGGAAAAATTCAATATTTGGACTATCACTGACAAGGACTGGTCTAACCACATCTTTAAAATGTATGATGATAAAAAGTCCATCTCTTTTCCTGCTCTAAAATTGTATTATTGTTTTAACTGTATTACTGTTTTTTTTTTGTTTTTTTTTTTTTTTTTTTTACTGCTAGCTGGACTTCTGGACTTCTCTTTGTTGAGACAAACATAGTAGGTTACCTATGGCCCAGCTGTGTAGTACCTATCATGATCTTTATATTGAATATTTATAGACTAAACAAACTTTTTTGTTGTTGTTTAATTTCTTCCTAATTTCACGACTTTCCAAAAGTCCTGTCCTCATAAGTGACATAGCCATTTTTGGCACACTGAATTAAGCATTGAAGCTTTGAAGGTTCCCAACCTCTAGCATCAGCATAAATTCGTGACAGAAGAKAATATTCTCAGATTACCATTTTATTTCTCTTTGGCCCTCCTTGGACCACCTCAGGATTCAAACAGGCAATTTGCCCCAAATTATTTTCATTGATCCACTAAATCTAATCACATGTGGGGATGAAACATGACTACAGTAGGATACAATCCACTAGCAAAGTGACTTTTTTGAAAGAGAGCTTTCCAAATTGGCTATGAAAGCAGTCCCATGCGGCTATTCTGGCACGCTTACACTATGTGAGCRGCCTTTGTTTTCTGTCAGAATTGTGATAAATATGAATTCATTCACCTGAATGTTCTTGAACAAAACCAATTTAGAGGTACCTCAGCAAACAACTGGTATTTTATTTGCATAAACATGCCAAATCTTTTCTCTGTATTTGTCCTGCTCTTTTGCACAATGCTATTATTAACTGTGCTCTTAGCAGACTGTCGCAATGAATCTGTTAGAGATAAAAGCACAATTAAGTCATTGGTTTTGTTTATTCCATGTATTTCTTATARCCATTTTTAGGCCAAAAATATGATTTGTTGCCTTGTAGTTCTAAAATGAGGCATTTCATTTATATGTAATTTCTGATCACAGATTAACACCAAGCTGACACATTTTTAGCCTGCTATAGTTCGAAATACAAAGAAAATGAGAGCATTTTCCCACTGGAAGATAGAACATGATTAAACAAAAGCATTTTGATATCATATTGTAATCTGATGTAATAATGTCACACTGCTGACTCAGTGAACCTACCACAGCACTSAGTCTTGAACAACACTGGTTTCTTTCAGCATAAGAAATGTTAAACAAATGGACATACTGACAGCCACAGAAATCATTAAAAAATGGAGTTGTTCTGGCCCCTTGAGAATAGCAAGTGGGCAAAATAATTATGCAATTCCCAYTGCACACACTGCACAGAAGAACACAAACTAAGAAATAAACATGTCCTTTGAGGATTGTTTGGAAGTTATTCCAAAGGTGTTAAAACAAAATTAAACTCACTGAAATTAAACTCTCTGAGATTAAATAAGAGGGCCCTTAAATATAAGCATGTTTGACAAAAATGAATCAGTGGAATGTGAAACTGTTACTTTGGGACAGAAATTTAAACAAGAGTCAGACCCYCTACAAAGCTTTAGTTCCTACCTGTGAGGTTTATCTCGGAGCAGAAACATGCCCACGTTACAGAGGATGCTGGTGAAAAAGGCGGTGTTGAAWCACGCAGTGCTGAAGAGCAGGTGTAGGAGATACTGGAGCTCAGGTGTCCATGTTCCAGTTATTGCCGCTCAGCAGCACCAACGATCCCAGAGCTCACCTTCTTTTCTGTATCAGCACCATTCCAGGGTSAAGATGGGACCCCGTATTCTGGCATTTGGCACCTTTTATGGTCTTGTGAGCCCCCRAAGTCTTGTGTAATTTGCCTGGAGTTTAGGGAAAAGGATATGAGGATCACAGAGAGATGATTCTGTCCACAGGCTTAGTGATTTAGCAGTGCCAGGTTTAATGCTTGTCTGCTCTCTTCAGTGATGTCTCATGAATGACTCTGTAACATTTTTACYACTTTCATTTGTCTTTCACTCTCTTGTCCTGAAACTGTCAACAGCCTGTATCCATGTTTGACTGTACTCAGACATCTCTGACCACTTTAGTCTAAGGGAGACAGAATTGCTCATCTGGCAAGATGGCTCTGTTTGTAGTGACTTGCTGAGAGATGGARTAAACCTGATGAGCTGAAGGATCGGGTCCTGTAAAAATACCAGAGCTAGATGAATATGCCAAGGCCTTCCACTAAGAATGTACAAACATTTAACCCGTCCTGGCAAAAATGGAGAGTCTACAGGAATACCCCTCTTCTTTTATTTGAAAAATATGATTGGAGATCATTATTATCTTTTAAAAGAACACTGATGCTGTCCACCTTTCATATAGCATAGCAGTAGATGAAAAACTCAACATGAAAACCTACTTAGTTCACTATTCCTTCCTCCCTGGAAGAATTTCAACCTACATCTTCACCTCAGAGAACAGAAGGTCAATTTTCTTCAACTTGYAGCTATTCTGGGTACCTGGCACTTCACTTCCTGACACTGCTTCTTGATCCCACTACACACAAMTATATTACAAAGAGAAATGGTGAAAATACGGCTGTCTAACCTACTGCTTATGGTGCTCATTTGATATGGGGAAGGCCTGGGTTGCAGCTGCATTCCTGGGACAGTTTCCATATTTCAACTATCATCAGATTTAATACTTAAACTGTCTGAATAAGAGGGGGAGAATCCAGATTCATCCTTCTCTCTGATCAGTCAGCAAAAGTTTGCAGACACCTCCTTTTTACGTGGTTATCTTTCCTTACCCTTTGATTTCTGCATTCTTCACTGTAAACTGTAGCAGACTAAAAATAACAGTTTGACAAACACCTAACCCATAATATTCTTATATGACCCCATATATTATCCATATAATCAACTAGTGATTATTGTCTTTTGTAAGCTGGGATAGATGTATTTGAAACTTCTCAGTCTAACGACTGATTTTAACTCTRGCCCATCACCTCTTGGGTGAATGGACAGTTCACCATGTTACTATATGTTAAGGTAAATATCACCTCTGTATCTATCCTTGGGTATCCTATTAAAGTATATGTAAGCCAGGTTCATCAGACTCTTAAACCCTCCTTGACTCTATTCACATGTATGTTGGGGATATAAGTTAAACTGCTTACTAAAGGCCAGATGGAGCACTTCTTATGTCTTCAGGAGCTTTCAATGGAAACAAAGAAACACCTTCTAAATTTGAGATGCTTTTACACAAGGCTAGGAACAGAGGTATGACTGTGCTAATAAAACTTTAGGGGCAAAGCTCCCCAACTTTACACAAAACCTTCTCCTAGTTTGTCATTTTTATTCAGTGCTGCTCYGCACCACAGTCACTGGAGTCATCTGCATTTGGAGTCATAATCTTCATGGTCTCAGGACTCTGAGACCAGTGACAGCATTTTGGATGTGGTTTTTGCTGAATTGCAATGGTGGTTAATTAGTTGAAAAGCCTGAAGTGGAAAGGGCTTAAATGACATTCCCGTAGCATATCTGTGATTTTTCTTCCTGTGTGTATCTGCATATTTTAGACTCTCTGATTGTCAGTTTATCTGCAAGTCAAATCAGGCTTCAACTAATGCTTCTGGCTTTCAATACCTGCAACAGATAGTATCTGCTTTTCCCTTTCCCATTCAGCTACTTTAGGGGTTTTATTATATCTTCTTCAATATACTTGTCCTTTTACCATGTTTAGTCTAGGTCTACTAAAAAAGAATAATTCAGAAGTGTTATTTTTATTTGTACTAGACAGATAAACATAAYATCATATAAAAAAAGATTTAAAGTAGTTTCAATTTCTCCCATTTCTGCAATACACAGCTTGTCAGCCCTGGCATCTTAATATGACTCTGTAATTCCAAAAATATGTCAGAATTTATGTATTCTCGTTGTTCAACATTTCTAAGCATAACAGATAAAAATATGGGGAAATAATTCCCCGGAAAATTGAAGTGATTTTCATGCCACTGTATAGAATGAAAACTTATTTTTCCTCACATCCTTATATGTTTGCAATATCAAGTATTTTGACTGTAATAAATTAGCGTTGTAAATAATTAATTAGTACTCAAGTACAGGCTATATTGCAAAAAATCAGTAATTTCAAAAAAAACCCACACACATTTGTTCCTCAGAACAGCTTTTAAACATCTGCAATTTTTCAATAAATATATTATTGCTACAARAGAAAAGAATACAGGCGAGTCCATTTTAAAGCTTTTGGAGTATCTATGCTTCTTTTACATTAAAATTCTGGAAKGTGACTTTTTAGAAAGGATGGTTCCTTCCCTCTATGCCCGCTTTGTTAGTTTCTTTTTGGTCTTACTTTTCAGACAACTCATTATGGTGGGTAGCCGTGATGACAGGTTGATGGACACAAGGCAGGCTCAGAGCTGGCACCTGAGGACATAAGCATTTCTTGGAGTGCATGAGGTTTTGCCCTGATGTTTTTTGGGGAAAGTTTTCAGATGAGAAAAACTTACAATTCAGGAACATGTTGCTCTGTCCCTCCGGGAACTGGGAACTGCTGATTGCTACAAATCTGTTTGAGGTTGGAAAATCTGCAGCTGGCAGAGCCAACACTGAGGCTTACAGTACTGTCCCCGAGGCTTTCTATACACAACTGAAATGATGCTGGATTTAAATGAGTGAGCATGTATAGGGGTCATTTATCCCCTTTTACTCACACTGAGTAGTGTTTACTCTTTATGTTGATCCCCTAAAATCAACAGCCAAAAATGTGCAGTGATGGGAATGAAGGCAAATGAATCTGACAAAAGAGAAGCGACAAAATGACATATTGCACCTGGGGGAAACTTGTCACAATGTAAAGAAGAAAAACCACAAATAAATCAATGCAACTGAAGTTCATTTGCACAAACACATGAAAACCCATTTTTCACGCTGTGAATCCTTACTTCCCATTCCTGAGCTCTCCAGACACACAAAGGTTAAGTAGGACTGAGGTTTTGAAGGAGATAAACAGCTTTTAGCTGATGGTGGGTGACTTAGGGCTGATCTCACCCGTAGCTCCATTGAGAATGCGATCTAAGGGGGGACCAAAGAGAAGATGAGATGTGGGCAAGTGGGACTGATTGCAGAATGTTGATGTGAGCTGCTGCCATCAAAAGTGCTCTAGACAGTACCCATTTCTGAAGCTGTCATTACTAGTGACCTTAAATGCTGCTGAGAAAAAGCACTTTGGTTAAATTATTGCACTTGTTCTGAGCAAAAAGCCCTTTGAGTTTAAACAAATCACTAGTGAAGAACACTGCTTATGCCAGACACAGGAATTTCAATCCTTCAGAAAGATGAAAAGGCACTAACTAACTAAAGACTGTGTGTACATCCAGTAATTACTAAAGAATATTTTTTTGATATCAATAGCATGCTAAAGTTGGGATATTTTAAACTTGAAATAAATRGGAGTTTTTGTTGGGGGTAAAGGATATGCACACATGGCTTTTCGAAAGAGAAAAGTTTTGCTACTGCCAATGAAAATATGCTACTTCTCCTTTAAATAAAATGTAAGGCATACTGTTTCACTGGAAACACTTTAAAAAAACCCTACTTCTCTATGATTAAATCTAGGAGCTTGGGCACTCTGGACTGTCCTCCTTGCTTGTCCTCCTAGTAACACTGCCTTTAATGTTTCCTTCAACAAAACATTAAATCTATAAAAGTCTGGAGAGGAAAAAAAAAAAAAGCCACCTCTCTTGATTCTGGATGCCCTAAAACACTTAAAGACTGCCAACTACCAGAGTTACTCAATGCCAAAAAATTTGAAGTCAGTGAGGCCTGCAGATATTCATAGTCCTGGAAAAGCAACGGATATCTCAAAAGAGAGGTAATTATAATTAGAAGTCGCATTTGAAAATGGAGTCCCCACACATGCAATTCGACTASAAAGGGCTGAATTAGAACAGCTAATCCAAAATATCTGCATTATCTTCTATTACTCCAAATATGTGGCACTCTTACATGCACCTTTTGAGCCCTCGTTAATCTCCCTTGCATTGATTTCACATGAAGATCATCTCCATGTTCCAGATGGAAAACTAAGATTTTAAAAGGCAAGCCCACAACACCAGAAATAATCAGTGGGAGAGCCACAGAAGCGGGAGATTTTGGCCTCATTCTATCCTGTCTGATTTCCCTTGCTTTCCTGGTAGGTTTGGAACAATAGATTAGCATCTGAAGGGGATTTCTTGCTGCTTCTTTATTTGTGCTTCTGTGTTTCTTCTGTATTCTTACCATTCAGCAACACACAGGCATGAATTTGCTGCTGTGCTATTGCTAGGAGAGAACCTCTCATCACTATGAGGTGTGAAATTTTGAAAAGTGCCATTGATTTGAATGTGTGGCAGGGTGCCAGGCAGGTGGTGGGTGGGCTATAAGCAGAAGCTGTGTAACACACCAGAAAAAGGCATCTTTGGAGCCAAAAGCTCTGTCTGTGACTCTTCATCAGTGTCATACTGACCCTCTAAGCTTAAGAGAAAACTAAAGAAGACCCATAAATCTCACGAAACTGAACACTGTACTCCCTCCTGACCCAAACAGATGCACAAAGAATTGCAAAACTTTTGCACTTCTTTTTGTTGCAAGAAAGATAAATTCTATGGCAGGATAATGTTTGCTTTCTTTCTTTCTTTGAACTACTGTGACTTTTAGATCACTTATTCATTCCCTGAGGACAACGCCTTTTTAAGATATCCATTTAAAAGAAAAAAAAAGATATCCATAACAGATACTAGAGAGTTTATTCTCTGGCATTCCTTTTCACTTTGTAAGAAGCTGTGGCAAAAAAAAAAAAAACATCAGAATGGTGTAAAAATCAGTATTTTGAATCTTTTTAAAAATAGAATACCAAAAAAAGGTAGCAAGCAGGTCTCTTGAGTTAAAAATTGAAAGTAGCAAAAGAGTGAGAGGTGAAAATGACTCACCCCAAGGTCACAAGACCGCCAGGGAGCAACAGCAATGAAAGCATGTGAAAATTCCAGCTCAGTGCCCTGGAGAGAGAACTCCCATGCTTCCCAGGCAGCATCACTGCATGGTCCCTTCTGCAGCAGAAATTGGCTGGGAAATGAAAGCATCTTTCCCCCAGCCCTCTGTGTTTCCTTGGTGATGGACAGCAATTCCACACGGGCTCCGTCGGCACAGGGACCGTGTAGCACAGCTGGCTCTGCAGCAGCTGGTGCAACAGGAAGTTCTTTACCCTCCTTGCAAATGGAGCCAGGTATAATCTGGCTCTAAGCTTGGCTGGATTCATGTGAACAAAGCCTTGAGACTTAAAAAAAGTGTTTCTGAACTCTTTCAAATTACGTGGTAGGAAGTGAGGTCATTTCAGAGCAGAAGGTAGAAAATAAAAAGTTAAAGCAGCATCTTCCTCCAAAGCCTGTATTTTCAAGTTGCTAGGAGTAAAGCACATTGAACATGCAGAAGACTGAAAAAGCAAAGCACTTGCCAAGTTATATAACTCTAYTGGATGTTCTAGCTCAAGCTACTGACCTGTATTAAATCTGTCACCAACTAGATTGCAGTGGCTGGTAGTAGTACCAGTCTGGGACACATTATCAYGACATAAATTTTCCAAGTAAAATTTATTAGAGAAATCAGAAAAAAATATTGTTTTCCATATTATATTTAACTGTACATCATATCTGAAACATTTGTGGGGTATGTGTGTGTGTATGTGTAYGYGCACACACAAGTATATGTTATAGGGTGTTTCACAGAAGAGTTTGTGTCTTATGGTATGAGGATAGCAACAGAAGGGAAGTGAAATTTTGCTGGGCTTAAACATCTATTGCCATTCTACTCATACCAGCAGGAACAGACTCCAGGCACTGACTGTCTCTTCTTGGCCTCTTTTTTAAGGATACTTTGCTTTAACTCCCGTGTGCAGTGGCTCCACGCTCAGAAAATACTATGCAGCTTTATGAACTGTAAATCAACAGATTTGTAATGTGTATTTGTATCACACTGCATTAAGCCATCTCAGATTTAAGATTTGATTCAATCGGAGAGATCAGCTACGTGCAGCAACCTGTTTACCTGACCTATTAGTTCACTCAATCYATGCTTTCTTTTTCCCTTTCCCCTTCCCTCCCCTCCCCCCACACCTTTTCTGGTTGTATTCATTTACAAGAACTTTTCATTTATAAGTCACTATTACAATAGGCTGGTCTGCACCTAACTGTTCTCCAATTTGAAATAACCATGCTACAATATGCTGAAATCATGCAAGTTCTCCCTCCTCCCACTACAACATGACTTTAGGTGCACCTAAGGTGTAACAAGAACACTCTTCTAGCATCCCTGAATTTAAGTCAAACTTCTTACTCATACCTGCAGACATTTATAACATTTCCAAAGAATCACTGTTACAGATAAAAAGGCAAATGAATTTATGACAGTAAATTAGAGCATAATTATTAATTAAAGGGTGAGATGAATTCTTAACATGAATAGTGCTCTTTTTCTATAAGGAATGCTGGTGTTTGATAGCTGAGCCTGTGGCTAAATACTAGATAACAYGGCACACTAAAGGCATCACTGCTCTCACTCTCCCAAAGTTAGGGAAATGAAACAATGGACTGTAGTCCATTTTCCTCTAACATCTAAATAGAGTGCACAGATTTAAAAACAGTTCTTTAGATGCAGAAAGCCAGTGAAATGATCTCTTATTTCTTTGTACATTTTAAGAACATTTTAAGTAACAGTGTTTGTGGTTTTGTGGCAGGCATTTCTCTCTCAAAGATTTCACCAAGATGTCACTGCTGAACTTCTTCATAAAGAAGTTTTGCATAGACTTACAAATGGGTGGTAAGTGGGAGAGGGATAGAGTCTCTCAAAAGCCTCTTCACACCAAACATTTTGGAGGTTCTCCTGTAAGATGATCAATACTCATAGTTTTTGTGCCCCCTATTTTTATACGGTTCCCCCTTCAAAATTTTAAATAATAATTATTTATCTGCATGTAACAATTATGAAAGCAGTCWCCTACCTCAACTCATGCAGTTAGGAAACTCTTATTTAAGATGTTTTATCTCCCTTTGCCTCTTCCTGTATAAAAACAACCCAAACAAACACAGGAGACTTTCCTGGAAAGTTGGCAATGACTTTCAGAGCTCCCACTGTCTTTTCTTCTTTAAGTTCTTCAAGTTGTTTGTTTAAATGTTCCTGTCTTTAGGTCTTTTTTCCCCGATTTTACTGCTGGAAACCATGAGAGCTGCTTTTTGTTCCAGAAAGTAGATTTATTATTTCTTCTGGCTGGAGAGTTGGGCAGAGAGGAACCTCATGAGGTTCAATAAGGACAAGTGCAGGGTCCTGCACCTGGGGAGGAATAACCCCAGGCATCAGTACAGATTAGGGSTYGACCTGCTGGAAAGCACCTCCACGGAGAGGGACCTGGGAGTCCTGGTTGACACTAAGTTAACCATGAGTGAGCAGTGTGCCCTCGTGGCCAAGAAGGCTAATGGGATCCTGGCCTGCATCAGGAGGAGCGTTGCCAGCAGGTCAAGGGAGGTGATTCTGCCCCTCTACTCAGCTCTGGTGAGGCCGCACCTGGAGTACTGTGTTCAGTTCTGGGCACCCCAGTATAGGAGGGACGTGGAGCTTCTGGAGAGGGTCCAGAGAAGGGCAACCAGGATGATTAAGGGAATGGAACATCTCTCGTATGAAGAGAGGCTGAGCGAGCTGGGCCYGTTTTCTCTGGAGAAGAGACGGCTCAGAGGGGATATGATTAATATGTATAAGTTCAGGAAGGGAGAATGCAGGGAGGAAGGGGACAGGCTGTTCTCACTGGTGGCCAGCGATAGGACGAGGGGTAATGGCCACAARCTGAAGCAYAAGAAGTTCCGTCTCCAGGTGAGGAGSAACTTCTTTACTGTTAGGGTRACAGAGCAGTGGAACAGGCTGCCCASGGAGGTTGTGGAGTCTCCTACTCTGGAGGTCTTCAAAACCYGCCTGGATGCCACCCTGTGCCACATGCTCTAGGTGTGCCTGCTTGAGCAGGAAGGTTGGACTAGATGATCTGTAGAGGTCCCTTCCAACCTTAAATATTCTGAAATATTCTGAAATATTCTTTATCCCAACTACATTTTTTCTCCAGTTAAAAAACAAACAAACAAGACTCACCATTTCAACATGCACCTTAACTCCAATGACTGAGAATCCCAGGCTGTAAAACAGCACATCTTTGTGGATTTTAAAAGCAAGAGAAGGAAGAGCTCTACAAAATCAGGGCAATACACATCACCTAGAGCTGGGAGGTTGGACTAGATGATYTCTAGAGGTCTCTTCCAACCTTGACCACTCTGAACACTTCAGATGGTTCACARGTACTGTGAACCAGCAGTTACAATGCTGCAGGTTTGGCCCAACGGTGAGAGTGAATTTGCTATAACAAAATGTCAGGCAAACAATAAAAGTGCACTTTACACAACCTGTTTGTGACAGTGCTTCTTCTCAGAATGGAGCAGGGTCAGAAATCTGCAACAGTTGTGGAACACCTGCAGTTCTATYGGGGGTCTCAAGCTCCAGGGCTGATCTCATGGAGGCACCAGGACTGTAGCTCTTGGGGAGGCTCACAAGGCAGTGCAGGGAGGTGCAGAAAGGAGGCCAGCAAGAAAAGCTCTTGCTCCTTCTGCTTCTGCTAAACAGATTTCTGCCCTTCTTGCCATTCTGCTTCAGAGACCAGCATCTAAAACCAGGCAACAACTTTCTGATTACCTACCAAGCCACAGTTCATCAGTATAGAACTGAATTACCTTTTTGTATGTTAGTTGTAAATAGAAAGATTTTAGTAGGTGCTGAAATGCACATGGGGATTTACTTTTTAYATAGCATGGAGTTCCTAATGCTAACTATTCCTGTCTAAATCACCATCACAACTAGTGGCAGCTCAGCATTCACCATGCTGTTCTTTTGACATACACAACAACCACCATGAAGAAGAATAAAAACAAGAATTAGTAATTTTAAAAAATGCTTTGATAAAAAGGGGTTCTGGAACACCATTTAAGCTCCCTAAAAATCTGAAATTCCACTATTAAAACTGTTTGTGATGAAAGAAGCTCTGCTTCTAATGAYAGCAGAGCTGTGCACAACCACTATGATAAAAACAGATATAACATCAATAATTTGAAATGCTTAAGGGTTCCTAAAACTGTGCAGTGTCACATGAAACAGCAATAACATCACTAGTGACTGCAATACCAAGTCATYTGAAGTTACAGTGGCTTTATACACCACATGAATCTTTTTTCTCCCCTATAAAGRATTATTTTAACATAAAAACTCACCTTAAAGTAATATATTGTGGCCACCTTCCACAACAACAGGGAATGGATAATCCAGSCACATCTGCTCTGCTTTCCCTGTGCTACGAAGAGCCACTCATGCAGATCGGCAATGCAACTGGTACATTTCTTGCACTCTTCTGTCTCCCATCGTGATTGCCTTCCAAGTTCTCCTATCTCACATTGCAGGCTGCTACAGAAGTGCTGTACATCTCCCACACTGATAATACTATTTAAACTTCATTTTAGGGACCAAGAGTACGGTTTACATGGGCGTTAAAAGGAAGCGAGAGACAGAACACATGGGGGGGGGGGGGGGGGGGGGGAGACAGGGAGCCGGTTCCAGCCGGCTCTGTAACGGTCAGACCCCAAACTGCAGCCAATCAGAAGCCGCCACTGGAGGGTATTTAAGGGCGGTAACGGTTGCTCTGTTTTTTTTGAGGGGTGTGTTGGGTGTGGGGGGGTGCTATCGGAGATGGGTTTTAGGGGACTGTAGTGGGAGCATCTACATGGGAAGGGGAGCCCTTGAGGGGACTGTAGGAGCAGTAGAAGAAAAACATGAGGGAGGGGAGAGAGCAGCAGAGTGTTCTGCCCTGCTTTTTGCCCCACCAAAGGGAGGCAGTGTAATGTGTGGATATGGGGTGGAGAATTGGTGGTGAGTCGAGCCTGGGGAATACTGGAAAAAAAGATGTCTCTTATATGTATATAGGCCAATGTGGCAGAAGATAGGCATGACCCTGCATCATTCTTGGACTTGCTGAAGAGTCTAGTCRTATGGTCTATTTCTAAAAATATACCAAGAAGGCCTGAAGATTTCCCTTGCTGGTGTTCYTGAAAGAAGAGGATATGAAGTAGGACAGAAACCCCTCAGAGTTGGAGCTGTAACCTAAGGGAACTGCAAGTGTAGGAGAAAGGTCAGAGTTCAGTTAGTGCAGTTATAAAATGTTCTAGAAGATCAAAGATGCTTGGTGCATTTTTTATTCCAGAAAAAAAATGAAATGTTCTCACTATCGAGTGAATGTTCTTGACCAGCTATTATGAGTCTGGATGAAGCGCTACTGGGAATAGAGATGTGAAATATTGGTGATTCCTGTTCTAGTTTTACTCATTGCCTTTACTGGTGACTTTAGAGTCTTATTTTCTGGGAGAACTCTAGGGAAATATTTTGAAGTGAAGCTATAAAGACAGCAGCCCAACCAAACTACAAGAAAAATGTAGGGGTGRTGGGGGGTTGGAAAGGAGCACAGGATTCTCCTTGGTGTGTTCAGCAKCTGATTTCTTGGAAGGCCTACAGAGTGATAGGAACTGCAGCTGAACTGAAGGATCTTTTCTTCATTTCCAGAAGCCTTCAATGGTACCAGGAAAGTCATGACCTTGAGCTGCAACTGCGTGTCAAGCTCCTTTGTCAGCTCCTTGTGCAGGTGAATGGATACCTTTTGGTCATGCTTGTAAAGCCCCCAAGTTTTATAAGTATTACCACTAAGTTTAATTCAAAAATTCAAAGAGCAAGGGATGCTTACACTGAGAAATCTCCAAGCTGTTAGGTGAGACAGGTGAAACTGAAAGCTTCAGACAGGCTTATTCTCTAGGCATTTGCAGGAGACTCCCTTCCTCCTGATTGCCAGCTTAGGTATTTTCAATGTGAAAAACTTCTTTTKTGATCCCAAAGAAGGTCTGTTTAGCCCCATCATCTGCAAATGTTAACTTTGAGTCCCTGGCAAACAGACCTTTGTTCTTCCCAAAGGCCTTTCAGTCTGCCCATAAACTGTAATAATCAGTTTGATGTCTGTGTRGCTGCTCCAGTGCTATTACACCAGACTGAATTTGTTCAGCTCTTGTCAGGATTATTCYCTTCCCAACAGCAGGAATAATCTCTGTTTTTAGTCTGAGCCTTGAGTCAGGAGACCCAAACAAACCCTTCTATTCTGCTTCCGGCTCTCCCCAGTTCTATATAGAATATAAAATGTGAAGTGCTAATACTATAAACTAACYATGGCCAAATCAGTATTTTACCATCTCTCACAAATCCAAATTGGTGGAGAAGAGGCAGTGGAAATTTAGGCAAAGATGAAAAAGACTTACGAAAATGGTTCTGTCCAACTCTAGACTCACGGGGATCTTCCCTATAAATAACTGATGCTGTTTTCATTCCTTTTTATGGAATCTGACTGTACTCCCACGGGCCAGGATGTGTATTTYCCACAGTGTCTCAGTGGAAAACAGTCTGATTTTGGTGCTTAAGWAAAGTGTGTCAGTTTAGTAGTCACAGTTGCAGTTAATTTCAGCTCCCTGGTAAGGAGAGGGTGATCTCATCCCTGCAAGAAGCAAGGTTCAGCCATCCCACAATGCAGAGAACACCACTTTAGTGTATTTAATGTTAAAAAAAAAAAAAAAAAAGCTTATAAGTGGATTCTGCTGTTTAGCCTTCTGTCTTTCTAATCTGAAGAAATTTGGATCATACAATTGAAAATAATCAGCAACTGCAGTCGACTTTTCTTTTAAAGTTGTCTGCAGCCTTGTAGCATGCCATATGCTGTAAGCAAGTATAGTTTTAAAGAGACTGTCTGAGGCAATTATCCAATACCATCCTAAAAGTGGATCCCTGTCTGAAAAGCTGTGTTGAGTCTGGGGAGAAGAAAAGAGCTGAAGCAGGGAAGGATATTAAAGCAGTTTCTTCTCTGAAGATATTTTATTGCAAATTACARTGTAAAGCTCAGCATTAAAACTGGTCTTTTCCGATCACCACAGAATGTGGAATTCACTCACAGTTTATTGAACCAAAAACACATTTTGTACATTATTTATTTAT